ATGTCCTCAAGGCGTGATCTGGCCCATGGGGTCGCGAAGAGTCGGACTCGACTGTGCGACTGAACAACAACAACAACAACAAGGCAGTCTTTAAGAAATATGATGAAATCAAAACATTTACCAACGTGAAGAATCCCGCCTGTGCAAACATGTTCCTTTTGTCATCTTCATCACAGCACTTCTCGTGATGTTTCATTCGGTCCACCAGGCTTTGCATTTCTTTGTTGCAGTTTTTGCATTTTGCACGCATGCCTGCCTTACCCATAGGTAGAGGCGATTCATTTGTTCCCAAACTGGGTCTGTTTTACGGCCTGCTGCCATGATAGGTTTTCTCCTCCAGGGAAAGAATAATATGATAAACCTCAGGCTATACACACAAACAGAGGTCATTTCGGGGGGGATCGCGGGGGAACGCAGTTCCCCTGGGTGAGGTGCAGGGGGGCGGGGCACATGACAAAGCCCCGCCCCCTGCTTCCGGCCGCCCCGCTTCCGGCCCTCATTCAGCCAGGAGGAGGCAGGAGAAGAGGGAGGGTAAGTTGCTTCCTCCCTGCCTCTCCCCACCCCTGCCTGCCTGGGGCCAGGGAGGGCCTTCGCGGGGCTTCCTTGCACTCCCACCAGCCTTGCAGGTTCACCGCCGGGCCCCTCATGGGGCTCGGCAGTGGAGCTGTAAGGCCGGCGGCAGCAGCCAGGACCGTTGGGGGCGGGGTGTGTGGCCTTATGACACACTTCTGGTGATGTCAGGGGGTGTGGCCTTATAACACACTTCTGGTGATGTCAGGGTGTGTGGCATATGCTAATGCGTTATGCTAATGAGTTCCCCTAGCTCTTTTTCTACGAAACGACCCCTGCACACTATGATCCAAAGACTTGTGGAGTATTCTGCTCAAAAGGTTTCACTTTCGTTTTTACTGCTTGCCCCTCCCTCGTCAAACTTAGCTTCTTGTGTAGATCTATTCCACTCCCAACGATCTTCTATGCATAGAATTTTTTGAAGCTTAGCACTTAAGAGGCAAGGGGTTGATTCTGTGTACATAGATCTTTTTCTCAACTCTGTATGTTTATTTTATAACATTCTTGCTGTGAAGAAGAGGCTTGTGATGATCTCTGCAGACACAAACTGACAGTTTTGAGAGCTGTAAAAGCCAGCATCTGTGATAATATCTTCTAAATAGAAAAACTGCCCAATAATCTTACAGGAATTAGTTTCTCTAGATTTTCTGGGTTGTGTGGCCATGGTCTTGGCATTGTAGAACCTGACGTTTCGCCAGTAGCTTTGACTGGCATCCTCAGAGGTATAACACCGAAAGATAGAGTACTCTCTGTCGAGGTGAGAAGAAAAATGGTAGGCAGGTAATTTATATCTACTCCAGAAGGTAAGGTAGGGCTGAGTCATTATCTTGTAGGATTTCCCCAGGCTATGAACATGCTAATGAAGGAGTTTTCCTGAGGAGGTTCTTTTGTATATGGATTGTTTCCTGAGGAGGTTTCCTGTTTCCTGAGGAGGTTCTTTTGTATGTTGATTGGCTGTTGAAATTCTAATCTTATCTGTAGTGCTGTTGTCAGATGTAGAGCCTTTTGTGTTTTTCAGGACAGGAAACCATGCCCTATTTATTTTTAAACTCTCTTCTTTCCTGTTGAAATTGTGTTTATATTTATGAATTTCTATGGCTTCCCTGTGTAATCTGACATGGTAATTGGAAGTGTTGTCCAGCCTTTCAGTGTCTTGGAACAAAATACTGTGTCCTGTTTAAATTAGGCTATGTTCAGCCACTGCTGATTTTTCAGGTTGGCCAAGTCTGCAGTGTCTTTCATGTTCTTTTATTCTTGTCTGAGCTCAGTCTTTCAGAAACCTCTGGAAGAGCACGACACTGTGGAAGGATTAATGGAATTCATTTACCAAAAAATTTAAACATTGCATGAATATACAACTCCATGCTACATAATTAAAAAGTAATCCTTGTTTCACGGTGAATAACCTTCGGACTGTAATGTATCTTAAATAGGAAACTGTCTCTAGATTTTATTTTAAAAAATCCAATTTAAATTTTAAAAATCTGATTTAAATTTTTTTAAATCCGATTTTTTGATTTAAAAAAGCCATTGATTTTTATTCACCTCGGTTTTAAACAAGTGAGGTGACAGGGACAGAGAGAAGGCATTAGGGAAGAGGTGAGACAAAGCCACAGAGGTAAGGCCTGACCAGACCTCGGGGACCCCTTGGCCTCAGAAAAAACCCCGGTATTGAGACAGTGGTCCTTGTAAAACAGAGCAGAACCTGGCCCTCCAAATGGTTTCTGTATCCCATTGTGGCTCTTGGACTAAAATGTCTAAACATCCCTGGAGGTGGTGGTTGTTGTTCAGTCGCACAGTCAAGTCCGACTCTTCGCGACCCCATGGACCAGATCACACCAGGCCTTCCAGTCTTCCGCCGTCCTCTGAAGTTTGCTCAACTTCATGTTCGTTGCATCGATGACACTGTCTAACCATCTCATCCTTTGCCGTCCCCGTCTTCTTTGACCTTCAATCTTTCCCAGCATCAGGGTCTTCTCCAGTGAGTGCTCCCTTCTCATTTGGTGGCCTGGAGGTAGACCATAGGAAAAGCTTTCCTTACTGGTAGGCCTCCAGAGATTTAGTGGCAAAGTTTTTATATGTTGCTGTTCTTCTATGAAGTAATATACTGTAATTTGGGGACATTTCAATTTATGACTCATTTTATGTTTAGTTCTTTTATGCACTTGTTTAATGTTCTGTCTTTTATAATGCCAATAAAGGATAACTAACTACCGGTAGGAATTTCTTGGACTGCTACGGGGGTAAAGTGCAAAAAGAACCTTTTCCTCATTATCCCGCCATGAAATAGAAAGGCAAAGCGTCTCCTATACGAAGACATTTTTGGCTCCTTGGAATATTGAACCATTACTTAACCATGTTTGAGCAGTAAGCTGTCAGTTGACTGGTTAGCTGACGGTATTCGACGATTCATTTGACCATGATGTTAACCTTACTTGATAGCTTTTGTGGGCTCGCTTGCAGGCAGAGATTGGTCAAGTTGTTTTGGTAAATGGCAAAAGAAAGAAAGAAAGAATAAAACCAAAATGGTCCACACAGTGGTGGCTAAATATATAATAGAAAAACAAACAAAATCACAGAACAAAGTTTGAGTCCAGTGGTACCAACAAAGTTTAATTCTGAGTATAAGCTTTAGTGTTAGGGTTGCCAAGTCGGTCGTTGCGCCGCAGCGGGGGACTCCCGGCTGGCGTCTGGAGTGCGCCGCATGCACGCACATCACCCGGAAGTGACATGACGACGCCGGGCACGCTGGGGGCGGGGCCACGACCATCCGAGGGAAAACCATAGAGTTTTCCCTCGGATGACCGTGGCCCCACCCCCAGTGTGCCCGGCGTGGTCGCATCACTTCCGGGTGACGCGCACATCAGGGTGGGGCTCCCCCCAGGGCCCGGTCCGCCGCCGCCGGGGAACGGGCCTCTGGGGCGGGGGTTTCCCCGCCCCCTGGGGGGACTTGGCAAGCCTATTTAGTGTGCATACACACTTCATCAGATATTACAGCTCGTGTTCCTTTACTAGTACCCTAAATTGTACCCCGAAACCTGTCACCGTAGATGGACTGTCTCATTCTGCTTATTGGCTAGTTCTTTAGTAGGCTGAATAAGAGGAAAGTAGATTGGCATTGTGTACACAATTTACACACATTTCTGTGCATGTACAAGCACACAATTTAGGCATGAGCCTAAGTTGCCCCAGGAAGGTTACGGAGTATCTTCCTTGGATGTTTTCGAGGACTTGCTACAGTTTCCTGTGATACGTGCTTTAAGACTTGATTTTCTTTTTTTTTCTAAATTAACCAGAACAAAATCAAAATCTGCTCCCCTTCAATTATATTTTTATTTTATTCCATTTGTATTCTGCCCTCCCCGCAAACAGGCTGAAACGCAACTGAGCACGACTTTTTAACTGAAGCACAACTACTGGTATTTAGCGTGCAGTCACACAATACAGTGTCCGAGTAGATTGACAAATCTAAAATGTAAACAATTGGATTTTAAAAGTATATGTATTGTCATGCTTTCGTGATACATTTTAGCTACAGGTTAGGAAATCCTTAGGCTCTGATGTTTCCAGGACAGAATTCTGAAGCTCCAGGTCATATTTGTTGGTTTTACAGCATGCTACCTTTTGTAGTGCAAGATGAAACTCTGACGCAACTCTTTTCATTTCTAGCCATTGGTGATAGAAAAATATGCTAGTCAGAACTAACATTAGCGTGTGACAAAGGAGGTCTCCATATAGCTCATTGTTGGTTCTATGGGCAGCAAGGTTCCCTCTAAGCTGAGTTAGTGTGAGCTAGCTCACAGTTTTTTAGCCTCCGGCTCACCCATTTTTGTCTTAGCTCAGGAAGGACGGCTCCATAGCAAACTAATTTATGCAGTAGCCCAATCGCTCGCTCACAACTGTAACGCCAGTAGCTCACAAAGTAGACTTTTTGCTCACAACACTTTGTATATGGTAAAATAGTCTCTCACCAAAAGGATTTTCAAGCGACTTGGTTCCCAGCAGTGGAATATCTCGTAGACGAAGAAGTGATTCCAAACAACTCTTATTACAAAGATCTGTTATATTTTTAAAAGGCTCTTACGGGTTGAGAATGTTGATTATTGCATGGTATTAATTTGTGTTCTGAATGTACTGTTGAATATATTGTTCAGAATAATAATAACAATAACAACAACAACAACAACAACAACAACAACAAAACAACAACAATAATAATAATAATAATAATAATAATAATAATAATAATAATAATCTTATTTTAAAAAAGACTCCACAGCTTAGGGGGAGCATTAATGGGCAGTGGGGGGGAAGGAAAAGCAACAGTGTCTGAAACATCAACCTTCTAAGCACTCAAGCACTGAATAACCTGGTATTTAGTTGATGATAAAGTTGCTCACATCCTTTTCGTCCTGTATTTTTGATCGTAGGTTCAGCAAGCTGAAGAGCCTTAACCTTTCCAACAATCACTTAGGAGACTTTCCTTTGGCAGTGTGCAACATTCCAACCCTGTCTGAGCTCAACGTCTCCTGCAACGCACTCCGAAGTATTCCAGCAGCCGTCGGTGATATGAACAAGTAGGTACACCGAACATGGCCCGAGTGTATTGACTTTGTCCTCGGTAACGTCATGAAACAGAACCACAGATGAAAGGGGGGCACTCCAATTTAGCTAATTTACACACCAACTATTCCATGCGTGTATAGTGCCATCAGTGGAGCTGTGGTGGCTCAAGTGGTTAAGACGCTGAACTGCAGGCTGTGGAAGGTCAGTAGTTCAGCAGTTCGAGACCCGAGTGTGCCGCATGACGGAGTGAGCTCCCGTCTCTGGTTCCAGCTCCTGCCAACCTAGCAGTTCGAAAGCAAGAAATTGCACGTAGATAAATAGGTACCACTTCGGTGGGAAGGGAACAGCGTTCCGTGCGCCTTGGTGTTTAGTCATGCCAGCCACATGACCATGGAAACGTCTTCGGACAGCGCTGGCTCTTTGGCTTTGAAACGGAGATAAGCAACCCTAGAGTCGGATTCGACTGGCTTTCGAGCAAGGGAACCTTTACAGTTACCTTTATAGTGCCATCAAGTCGCGGCTCGCTTGTGGTGACCCGGTAGGGTTTTCAAAGCAAGAGGCCATGTAAGTGGGTTGCCATTGCCTGCCTCTGCATAGCACCCCTAGGTTTCCTTGATGGTCTCCCATCTGAGTACTAACCAGGGCTGAACCTGCTTCTGAAATCTCTAGAGATCCAGCCACCCTGGGCTAGTCAGGTCAGGCAAGGTAGCTTATTCAGGCCAGGCCTATTCCATGCAATATTTGTGTCCCATGTTCCCCTGTCTTCTCTGATCACCACCTTTCCTAACATATTTAGAAGAATGCAAAATTGGTGCAACTTGAAGGCTGGGTGTGCTCCTCCTGTTAGCTTTTCCCGCTGTCAAGCACAGCAAGCCTAGAATTCAGAACCTAAATAGGTTAGTCAAGAATGGAAGAGGGCCAACTCTAAAAATCTAATTATGAGACATACAAAAATACACATGTATTTATTCAACACAAATTAAAATGACAAATAAGGGCCCATTCATACCTCATATACAAATATAAAAATACAAAGGCTGATGAAGTAGACCTAACGCGTTTCGGCCTTCACAGGCCTTCCTCAGAGGTCTAATGCAAATAGAACATGTTGGCGAATATGTAAAAATTCCTCTTATAACAGATATGGTGGGACAATCAGGTGCTGAGCAATGTAACCGATTGTTAATTGATGGGAACCGGACAATTACCGAAACTGTGGCAAAGTTTTGGGTAGCATGCTACTGCATCCGAAATACACAATCAAATATATAATAATAGTTGCCTAATAGTCTCTGTTTTATGTCCTTCTTTTATTTTATTATGCTCAACTGTATTTTTATAGAGTTTTATTTTACTGTCCTAAATTCAGTTATATGAATGTTATGAATGTTATATTTAAGCATGTGTGTTCTATGGCTTGTTGACGTAATAAATGCCTGACTGACTGACTGACCGACCAGAACGCAATTGTTCCAAAGTTTAACCACTGGGCAAAAATACAAATGAAACCTCCAGTGCAATCACATGTCCAGTGGTACTTCTCTCTGGTCAACTATATATTCTCCTGAGATTGTATAGCCAAATGTTCCCAATGAAATATTCCTTCAGTTAAGAGCAGTGTTGCTCAAAAACGTATTGGACCTATATATATATATATAGGTTCATTTTTTTCCCCCTTTTCCCCTTTTTTTCCTTATAAGCACAGCAAGCTTTCATATAAATTTCAGATTGCCATCAAGAGATGAAACAACCTGGCATTGTATATAAGTAGTAAGTTTTGGTTCGTTCCAGTCACTACGCGGGAACCCAACCCAGCCCAGTTGCCTCCTATCTCTGCACTTCCCTGCCTCTAAAAGAACACAGCTTCTTCTGTTCCTAGGGCCTCAGAGCATTTTCTTTAATCTGAACTGCGTGTTTTTTTAAAAAAAACATGCGCCACAAAGTGTACTCTTGGTCCGTGTTTTGTTTGTTGTCGGGTTTCCACTCAGCAGTGGGCCATTGAAAAACGAACATTCCGTGATGATACAATAGTTCGGCCAAGAGCTAATGAGGGGACCCTGGCAGGAGGTGACAGAGAGGGTGCAGCCTGTTCTTCCGCCTAGTTTACGTAATCTGAGATGACTTAAATCCAAGTCGTTCCCTTGTGGTGTTTTTATCAGTCAGTGCTGGTGTCTGAGTTACTTACTGGAACAGTGAAATAGATACTTAACTAGTTCCAAATCCTGTGTGTGTTTGTGTTTAAAGCAGTCTGTGTATTCTGTGGGCTTGCTCGGCCTCTCTTGTCTTCTGGGATGTTGGAATCCCAAAAATGATGGATTCCAACACTAGAATTCTGAAGGACACTCTGTCCCGGATTTATTTCTGATCAAACTTTGTTCCTCTCAGAGTCTGGGTGAAATGGCTTCCTATTTTTCCTGTGGAGTCCTTCCCACTGTACCTTCCTTTTTCCAGGATTTATTAGGGAGGGCACCTACAATCCATGGTGGTACTTGGGCATCAGGGCCCGTATGCGGCTTACACGTATGTGCAGTGATACGCGAGAAACGTAGTACAAATTAGTTCAACTGCCAGATCCCCAAAGGCTTGCTGAAAAAGACAGTCTAGAACTTTGCTTGAGTTTAAACTGTGATTGCCGCCTGTAAAATCTTAGCGTTTATGCAGGCCCCAGACCATAAAAACCCTCAAATATTAAACACGTCTTGATCAATGTTCCCTCTAAACTGTGCCATCTTGTGAGCAAAAATTCTACTTTGTGGGTACAGGGTAATCTGGAGGTTGAGCACTTGAATGAGATTTTAAGAGATGGCCAACTTGGTTTTTATGCGAGGAGTATTGAATATATTTTTCTATGATTATAACTGGTTTTAATTTTTTTTAATGTATGTATTGTTTTATGTTATGACTTGGTAATACGACTTGTAAGCCGCCCTGAGCCTACGGGGAGGGCGGGATAGAAATACAAATAATAAATAAATAAATAAATTAAAGTTTGTGAGTGAGTGATTTGGCTACTGCATCGATTAGTTTGCTCTGGAGCCATCCTTCCTGAGCTAAGACAAAAATGTGTGAGCTGGAGGCTAAAAAAACTGTGAGCTAGCTCACACTAACTCAGCTTAGAGGGAACACTGATCTTGATACTGATCTTATAAACTTACTGGTAATTGGTGTACACGCTGCAGTGCAAGCTTATGAAGACGGACGTTGTGGCAGATAACATTATTTTCATTGTCTCACCTCCCCTTGTCTTCCAACAGTTTACAGACCTTCTTGCTGGATGGCAACTTCCTCCAGAGCCTTCCTGCGGAGTTGGAAAGGATGCACCAGCTTAGCTACCTGGGTCTTTCTTTCAACGAATTCTCTAACATTCCAGAAGTCATTGAGAAGCTGTCGGCCATGGAGAAGCTCTGCATGTCTGGAAACTGCATGGAGGCACTCAGTTTGGAGACGCTAAGGAGAATGCCACACATTAAACACATAGATTTAAGGTATGTACCCTTGGGGAAAAAAATAAAAACAAAACATCCCTGCCCAGTCTTCTTTATTAAGGGAGAGGTAGACCTCTTTCTAATTTGGTTGTTAAAACTGTGCACCTGCAGTTTTTCAGGATATTGGTGAAATTTAATCCCAAATGTTAATTTTAAAATCTGAGTAAGGGTCTTGTTGTAGATGCCTACCCTTCTTTATTCAAGGAACAGGATTAGGTTGGTTTCCCCAACAATAAATTATTCCACTTTCATTAATCAACCACAATTGCATCTTCTGACTGAACATTCCCAAGTCCCTCAGTCCTTCCTCAGAGGGCTTGGTCTCCAGACCCCTGATCATCCTCGTCGCTCTCCTCTGCACCTGCTCCATTCTGTCCACTTCCTTTTGGAAGTGAGGCCTCCAGAACTGCACACAATACTCCAGGTGCGGCCTGACCAATGCAGGACTATGACATCTTGCTATTTGGATGTTATGCGTCTATTGATACACCCCGAGATAGCATTAGCCTTTTTTGTTGCTGCATCACACTGGCTCCTCATATTTAACTTATGGTCCACCCATACCTCACGATCTTGTCCACACACATTGCTGCCCAGAAGTGTATCCCCCATCCAATATGCATGTTTCTGATTTTTGTTACCCAGATGTAGAACTCGGCGCTTATCCTTGTTAAATTGCATCTTGTTCACATCCGCCCACTTTCCCAGCGTGTTCAGGTCTTGTTGAGTTCTGTATCTTCTGATGTGCTTGCTGCTCCTTCCAATTTGGTGTCATCTGCACATGTAATAAGTAGCCCATCCACACCCTCATCCAGATCGCTGATAAAAAATATTGAAAAGTACCGGGCCCAGAACCGAGCCCTGTGGCACCCCACTGGACACCTCCGGTCCGTTCAGATGAAATGCCATTGACAACTCCTCTCTGAGTGAGGTTCTCCAGCCAGTTCCCTATCCACCTAACTATCCTAGGGTTCACAGTCCTCTAGTTTACCCATCAGAACATCATGGGGAACCCTGTCATAAGAACATAAGAGACGCCAGTGTTGGATCAGGCCAAAGGCCCATCCAGCCCAACACTCTGTATCACACAGTGGCAAATACCAGGTGCCATCAGGAGGTCCACCAGTGGGGCCAGGACATTAGAAGTCCTCCCACTGTTGACCAAGCACCAAGAAGACAGAGCATCACTTGCCCCAGAGCCCCTATCTATACCTTGTGGCTAATAGCCACGGATGGACCTCTGCTCCATATGCTTATCTAATTCCCTTTTGAAGCCGTCCATGCTTGTAGCTGCCACCACCTCCTGTGGCAGTGAATTCCAAGTGTCAAAAGCTTTACTGAAATAACTCTGATCCATTGAAGCACTGGTGATTCATTAACCCGTTTTACTTGTCCATGTTTTCATGAACTCCAGATGCGTGTGCGCAGTTGAAAGAGCGAGGAGGCCGTTTTTATGAATACTGGTATGCTGGCTGCCCTCGTTCTTTAACTGTGCCCCAAAGCATTGTTTTCATTGTATGATTTAATAGGTCTTGTCAACTCAGCCCTGAGAATGAAGCTGAAGTCTTCAGAGTTCAATAAAATAACCCAGTTGTCTGTTTTTTTATAGATAACCTTTTATTTCTGCAATAATTCTCAGACTGGGCAGGACAAATTCTATTTTACCCCCCTTTGTCCGCTGTCATGTGTGTGAATGGGTGTGGGTTCTTTCTTGCGCGTGCCAGAGTATCGATGTGGAATCCATAATTCTGAAGCAAGGAGAGCTTATCTATTTCCAGTTAGATTTGAGTCCGGTAGCACCTTAGAAACTGTGGTGGACCGGGCCTGTGTCAGCTGGCAGGCCCCATTCTGCCCACCCCTCCTTGGTCTGACCTGGCACCTGAAGGGGCCATTTCACTCCACTACCTCAGGATACTGCTGCCACCACCATCCCTGTCTTGGACTCTGGTTAGACAGAACAGCCTCCTAACCTCCCTCCGGTGTCCGTAGGAACCTGCCTCAGGGCTTCCCAGGGTTCTTTGAGGCTCCCCTGGAGAGTTGGCAATTGGCCATCTTACTGCTTTTCTCCTTAGGGGATTCCCTGACCCACTCCTAGAGTTTTCAAGTGGCTGGGGGAACTATGTGGTACAGAGGGACTTCACTCCTTCAGCCATCAAAGGATTTATTTAAAACTCACAACTATATATACAGGCACATCAGAAGTGAATGGAAGAAATAAAATAATGTTGACAAAAACGCTTCCTCTCTCTCCCTCCTCTAAACTCATGCCCTATAGAGGTGGTTTGGAGGGCAGATACATTACTTCATCACTCTGGGGTAAGCTGGACAAACATATCCCCCCCAAATGGCCACCATCTCTGGCCCGGCAGTAGGGGCGTACCTGCCTCTGTCTCTTTCGAACTCCAACCAACCAACCGACTGGCTCTCCCTCCTGCAGCATTCTGGGGCAGATCTCCTCACAAACCTTGATGGATTTCCTGTCTTTTCCAGGGATTTGCCCTCAGATTACTGGTTGGAGACCGGAGGGGTGGGGAATGAGGAGGAAATTAGGCCAAAGCCTACCTAAAGCTTTTTTTTATTAACAATTTTTAACTTTTAACAATAACATCGATACAGATAAACATAAAACTTAAATAATTTTTAACAATTAAAAATAAATCATAAATGTACTGTAGTGATTTTAAATGGCTTTAAATATGTTTTATATTGGCTTAGGCCTCCTTGTAAGCTGCCCTGAGCCCGCATAGCAGGGAGGGCGGGGTATAAATTGAATTTATAAATAAATAAAATAAATAAATCATATCTTGGGGGGGACTTCTGGTGGACGTTGATTCGAACGCCCGCACCAGAGGCTGCCTCCGCATTGTTTCAAACTAAAAAAAATTAAAACGCCTACCATACGTAAAAAATAAATCATGTCTTGATACAGAGGATTTTGAGGAAGTAAATCTTTTTTCATTAAATAACTAACTGTTGGATACCAAATCTTAACCAACTTGTTCTGGTATTGAATTATTGGAACATTAATTAAGTTGTGTCCTTTTACTTAAAATAAAACAGTTCCAAATTTTATTTAACCATCGTTGAACAGAGGGTACTTGCCTATCGATCCATTTTACCGCTATCAAAGTTTTCGCTATGGTCAACAAAATTGAGGGTTGCTCTGCCTACCTAAAGTTTGATAGCCTCCTCCTATCCAGCCTACGGAAAGTTAAACCCCCACACTAGACAGCGTTTCTCCACAGAAACCAACAAGACTTTTGGGGTATAAGCTTTCGAGAATTAGCTCTCCGCTTGTACTCTACTGTGTCTGACGAAGGGAGCTTTGGGTCTTGAAAGTTGATACCCTGAAACTCTCGTTGGTCTCTGAGGGGCTTCTGGTCTCAAGTCGGGACTGTTGTGCTGCAGACCAGCATGGCCCCACTCTGACATATCTTCTCTCGCATTTTTTGTTTTATATATCTTTTTATCGTTCTGCCTTTACAATTTACCCTCCAAGGAATCTAAACAGCACTTAAGTATTGGAAAATGCATCTAGATCCGTCTACATTCATGTGAGACTATTGATGGTCCCAGATGACTTTTGCCGGATGTCCACAAAAATCAAAATCAAACTCAGGCAGGGCTGTTCATCAGATGCTAACTACGAATCTTCTTGAGCTCAGGATACTGACCTTGGGGTACTTTGCCGTAATTGTTTAGAGAGAATGACCTTTATTTCCCATAGGCATAATCTTTGGTGAGAAAGTCAACACTCCAAATTATATCTGGTGGTGGTGGTGGTGGTGGCGGCGGCGGAAAGGCCTGTCAAGTCGCAGCCAATTATGATGAACCCCGTAGGGTTTTCAAGGCAAGAGACGTTTGCCATTACCTGCCTCACCTCACGACCCTGCTGTTCCTTGGTGGTATCCCATCCAAATACTAGCCTGCTTAGTTTTCGAGATCTGACGAGATCGGGCTAGGCAGTTATCCAGTTGTACTCCAAATTATATCCCAGTGAAATGACTGGCTATTTAGCTGGGAGCAGTGTCAACAGCTTCTACAACAATACGTAATGTTAAATTGTTTAAATTGTTAACTTATTACTGTTAGCACTTTTTTTTAATGTTGTGATTGTTATGGTTTTAGGACCATGGTACTATTTATTGTTGTTTTTATGCTGTCGTAAGCCGCCCTGAGTCAGCCAAGGCTGGGAGGAGGGCGGGGTATAAATGTAATAAATAAATAAATATAATAAATGCACCTAGTAAGTAACCCTGGGTTAGCATTGCAAAATCTAAGTAGGTTGTATGAGAAATCTTTGGGGGTGCCCTTTGTAAGCCACTTTGAGCCACCTTTTGAGACATAAGAATCTGAGTCCATAGATTTACAATGCTGAAGAATGAATAAATGGATAGCCGTGCATTCTGCTTCCCACATTCATAATAACGTGACTGTAACGGATGGCTCTCCATTCACCTCTCACCCCAGGCTAAATGCAATCAGAAGGTTGGTGTCAGATAATTCTGACTTCCTGCATCACGTGACCCAGCTTGACCTTCGGGACAATAAACTGGGCAGTCTTGACGCCACCATCTTCAATAACGTTGAAATACTGCACTGTGAAAGAAACCAGCTGGTAACCCTCAAAATCAGTGGATACTTGCTGAAAGCTCTCTACGCCACTTCAAATGGTAAGTTTGACTTTTAAGATAGCAAAGGACTCATTTCCCTCCCCCTGTCCTGGCTTGTACTGCCATTGTAAACTCGACTAGGTTTACCCCTAGCCCGTACCTCAGGGGTACTATATAAAGCATTTACCAGTAACAATAAAAATGTAAGGAGAGAGAGCCAGGCCAGTGGAAAATGTAGCAGCAGCGGTAATAACCAGTAATTCATATTCCTGTTTCACTGCATACAGTTCATGTTGTTTATATTTCCGTTCGAAGCAGTTCCACATATATTATTTCAGTCGTCGTATTCAGAGTAAACTAGATGAGAGTTCTCTTCCAGGAAAGTTATTGTGTTATTATTCATATTTATTATGGGACTGTGGTGGCTCAAGTGGTTAAATGTTGTTTATATTTCCGTTCGAAGCAGTTCCACATATATTATTTCAGTCGTCGTATTCAGAGTAAACTAGATGAGAGTTCTCTTCCAGGAAAGTTATTGTGTTATTATTCATATTTATTATGGGACTGTGGTGGCTCAAGTGGTTAAGATGCTGAACTGCAGGCTGTGGAAGATCAGTAGTTCAGCCGTTCGAGACCCGAGTGTGCCGCATGACGGAGTGAGCTCCCGTCTCTAGTTCCAGCTCCTGCCAACCTAGCAGTTCGAAAGCAAGAAATTGCAAGTAGATAAATAGGGACCGCTTCAGTGGGAAGGTAACAGTGTTCCGTGCGCCTTGGTGTTTAGTCATGCCGGCCACATGACCACGGAAACGTCTTCGGACAGCGTTGGCTCTTCGGCTTGGAAACGGAGATGAGCACCGCAACCCTAGAGTTGGACTCGACTGGCTTTCGAGCAAATGAACCTTTACCTTTATTCATATTTATTAAGCATATTTCGGCCATTTTTCTCCTCCAGAGAGCTCCAAAGAGGTTTATATATATAAAATAAATAGTTTAAACAAACAGACCCAAGGTGCGGGGTGGAGGAGATGCGTAGGGGAGCCGTGTCAGATGGGAAACCCCAGTGAGCCAATCAGTCCATACGAATTGCCCCTTGTCTCTTTTACACGAGTGGGAAGGCTGATAAGAGACAAAACCCAGCATTTTTCTGCCATGAAACATGAGGCAAAATCGGGTCAGTGTGGGAGTGGGGCAAGTTTGTACCACACCAAGGAAGAGAGACTTA